GGAGATTAAGCGATAGAGAACTCGAGAGACTTATTCAAAGTCACTAAGTGGGAGAGCCTGGATTAGAATCCCAGCAATCTGGCCTCAGGGGCCTTTCCATTTACCATCTAGCCACATCATCACCTGAAATTTAAGATCAATATGCATGACCACCACATCAAGAATAAAAAATACTGTCATTGTCAAACTATGTGACATCAAGCATTGTAATTTTTACATCTTAGGAAGGGTATAAGCAGCAAATTCTCAAGAGCTAAGAAGACCGTTATTTTCATCTTGACAGAGTTCTCTGTTGAGAAAACCATGTTAGCTCTGCAGGTTTGGACTGAACACAGAAACAGGAAATCAGGTGCAGGCTATGTATGGAATCGAGAATTGTTTTGGTGAGAAGAACTTGTGTAAACCGCAGAGCATAAATGTGATGGGAATGTTGGGGAGCATGTGTTTGTATACTAAAACGTCTTGTGTTCATTTTCCCTTGTTTCACAGTCTGTACTCGAGACTCTTCCAGCTCTACCAGTTCTCTCCAACGGATCTCCAGACCCTGCAGAGGCAGTTCAGAGTGCAGGGAGTGGTGAGTGGCACATCCTTTTATATGGAACTGAAGCTGTGTCTTCTCGCTTTTGCTCTGGCAAAAGCTTTTGCTTTTGCTTCTCGCTTTTGCTCTTGACTTTGTCAAGGCAAAATGTGTGGGATTTTTTTTTTCTATTTTGATTCTGTCACTCCAGCACTCACTCCTTGCCAGCTCCAAACACCCCATTCTGTCACACCAGACAAAATTAATTGAGCCAAATTGGAAGCAGAATCTTTTTCTCTTTCACTACCATCACATCATTTAGAAACTACTCACTTGGGTAATGTCTTTGATTTGAGGTCTCTTTCACAAGGAATCTGGATCTGCTTAATAGTTGCGAGTGGGCCAGGAAGTAGGACACTTCCAAAAATCTCTACTTAGGCTCAAGTGTGTACAGCACCAGAGCAACTCTCACATAGCAACTCTAACAATACATAAAGGCTAAAGGGTTACCTTTTAACTGCACCTCTTCCGCTTGAGTATTGTATTTTTGATCAGTGTTTCTGTTTAAAATTTTAAAATCTGTTGATTTGCAAATTTCTCCATTTAACTTTTAATGTGAGATTAATTAGGTCTTCTATTATTTCTTTTCGTCGTTGTTCTTTAGTCACTGTCTATAGAAGAGGGTAAAAGACATGAGTTCTCTTTTTTATAATCAGTTTTTTTTTCACTGCATATGAACAGTTTTTCCAGGCAATGAAAAAAGATGGCAAGCCAAATATTAGTTAGGAATCAGAGTTTAGGACTACTCAGATGATTTCTGGATTCACTTGTTTTTGGCCAAGGAATTTATTGTCTTAATTTCAAACTACCTCGCAGACAATGTGGGACATTTCTTGTTACGCATTTGGCTCTTTTTTAATAAACAGCATGGGAGGTCAGGTAACCAAATCAAATTACAAGAATTTGGGTTAATTTACATGAACAAACCTAGCAGTGAAGTCCAAATTGAATTTTAACACATCCTAAGAACCAAACCTCCCATAGTTTGGGAGAAACAACAGGAGAAGTGAATTTAGGCAGGAATTCTAGTGGGGTCTTTGCCCGTTCTCCCTTTGCCTTAAGCTTCTGCTTCCCCAGGAGCAGCAACATTGGGTTTAGATGGCCTTAACTGTAATATCATAACATACAGAAGAAATGCCTCATTTGTGGGCTTTCCTCTAGTAATCTTCAGTGCCTTTCATGAGATAGAAGAATCTAAGATTAAAAACATCAGAAGAAATAGAAAGTTTGTTTGGATAATGATTAGAGAAATTCATTCATATGGAAGTTTGAAGACCTCACATTGTTATTTAACCGAACTCCTCTAGGTGAGTCTGATTCTGTTCTTTGGTTGTAAACATTCTGATGTGCCTGTAGGTTAACTTAGAAATATTTTGTGCTTATTTTACAGTACATGATATTGATTGATTAAATGACATATAAAAATTGTACGTCCTTTTTTTTTTAGGTGATGATTATCGGAAAAAAAACATTCCACCAGAAACTGAAGAGCTGTCCTTTGAAGTATCTTATTCAGAAATGGTTACAGAGGCTCCAAAAAGAAGTAAATTCAAGAAATCAGATTTTAAGAAAGAGGACTATGCTTTAACTGTATGTAAAACCTTTCATGATTATTCCAATAACTTCCTATGGTTTTTCCATGGAACAAACTAGGATTTTTTTTTCTTTTTTTTTTTTTTTTCAGAGAGAGATCACAAGTAGACAGAGAGGCAGGCAGAGAGAGAGAGAGAGGGAAGCAGGCTCCCTGCTGAGGGCCGAAGGCAGCGGCTTAACCCACTGAGCCACCCAGGCGCCCCTTTTTTTTTCTTTTTTAAGTGTGTGTGTGTGTGTGTGTGTGTGTGTGTGTGTGTGTAGGGAGAGGGCAGGCATCAGTGTTATGCAGTACCCAGCCTGCCTGACCGTGTGTGTGTGTGTGTGTGTGTGTGTGTGTGTGTGTGTGTGTGTGTGTGTAGGGAGAGGGCAGGCATCAGTGTTATGCAGTACCCAGCCTGCCTGACCGTATCTGGCAGTGCTGTGTTGCAAAAGAGTTGTGAGGATGTATGCTTGAATACTGTTTTACAGAGGAAATAGGATTTCCTGGCTTGTGTGATTTCATGAAACTTCTATCCTTACTTACAGGTTAATGCAGATTCTAACTATATACTTAATTGTGTCTCTAGAAACCACATATCAGAGGGGCTTACTGCAAAAAGTCAGTCACATAACAAGAAGTGAGCACTTGCAGAACAGGCACTAAAAATCCATCAAAAATATTCTCAAGAATTTATAATATTATCATGAAATAGACAAGTGGAGCTATATACTTCATTATCCTAAAAGCCTCAGAGTATGTATCTATGTAACTATATATTGAAATCTATATCTATATTCAGGATGTTATATCCTGAAAGCCCACTACAAGAACTATGTTACATTGATCTGTTGGCTACTCAGCAAATGCATTTGTGAAGAGTTTGTGATGTAGAGTCCTGAATATTCTGTGCTGATCAGAGCTAGAGGCATGATGAGCAGCAGGGCACAGACAGTTTAAGGACTGAAACAAGGAGTCCTATAAAAACTGGCAGAGTCTTTACCTAGGTAGCCTGGACCATTCCCAGACAACAACCCCATGATGAGGGAGGAGCAAGAGGGCAGGGTAAGAACGGTAAGACTCACTGAGTGTCTTCTACCAGCCTGTGCTGCACTAGGTATCTTCATTGCAATCACCCTGTGACTGCTCCCATTTCACAGCTAAAAAACTGAGGCTCGAAGAAGCTAAGTTATACATCTAAAGCCCCACAGTGAGTAGGAGGCTGAAATAGGATTTAAACCTACATATGTCAAACTCTAAAACTCCTTCCGGTCCTTAAGCAAACCTCTATGTTGGAGGGCACAGAGTTGTTTTGGGGCAGAAGATGGAATCCACTGGGACTCTGGTTTCAGGGGCATGATCTTCAGGTCCTCAGATGAGGATGCTGGCCCCCAGTTCCTTCAACCGGGCTGTCCCCTCCTGAGATTTGGGTCTGACCTGACCTGGGGTGCAGGTCAGTCTCCTGTGAAGAACTTTGTGTGGGATTTAGCAAGTGGTAATTACGTAATTAATGATTGCAGTTTTTGCCTTGGTTGTTGTTGCTATATATTACTGTTATGTGGGGACTTGGTCTCAGAAAGAAGGGAAAACAACTATGTTTTTTTATAGAACAAGTTATGTCCCAAACCGCATTCTACATTTTGTTTTTTGGGGTTTTTGTTTTGTTTTGTTTTGTTTTTTTTACTTTTAAAATACTTGAGTTGACTAAGTGAACAAATGAATGAATGAGTGGATGGTTAAAAACCTCAAGAAAGTTCTAACCTGAGGGACCCCCTATAGAGAATATACAAAGCTTTATAACTGAAATAATTGAGGTTTTTCTACTTTAGGAAATTTTTTTCCATACCAGCTTTTTTGTGAGCCATGCTAACTTGTGGATATTAATAAGAACAATTTCTTTCTTAAAAGGTCTTACTTAGGGGTGCCTGGGTGGCTCAGATGGTTAAGCCTCTGTCTTCAGCTCAGGTCATGATCTCCAGGTCCTCAGATGCAGCACCATGTCAGGCTCCCTGTTCAACAGGAAGCCTGCTTCTCCCTTCCCTCTGCCTGCTGCTCCCCCTGCTTGTTCTCTCTCTCTCTCTCTCTCAAATGAATAAATAAAACCTTTAAAAAATAAAAGAGATCTTACTTATTATAATCTTCACAGTATTTCTGGATTGTTCAAAAGTTTTTTGTTGTTGTTGTTACCATTTTACTGTATTTTGTTTCCTATTGTGGAAATGGGGAATATAGCAATTTCATTGTCTCAAAATGATAGTGAGGTTATTTGGTACCTTCTGTATGTTTTTATTTTTTAGAAATATTTAGGCTTTAAATATCTGAATTTGAGGTTTAAGGTACAATAACTACTGTCTCAGCACACTTGTGCATCACATTCAGTGGGGAGATTAGTTAGTCTTTTGGAGGATGCAGAGAGAATACGTCACACCTGATTAGAGGACTGATGGTCCCCTAACCTGAAAGGATACATCAGAAGCTCTTCTGGGAGTACTTAGATGTTGGGATCTGTGTGAACCCTGTCATACGTGCCGCTGGTCAGTACATTCCATGTGGTGCCTGGGACATCAGTGGACAACACAGAATGTTTCTTGGAAGAAAGATGTTTTCATGGTTGTGATGACAATTTTATAGTACACTTCAGACCACTGTTTTGATTCTAATTTAGCATAAGAGTGTTCTGCAAATGTCTAAAAATCATTCACAATCTTTCTATGACACAGCTTGCTTCTCAGAGATTTTCGTACAAGTAGCATGTTTTGCTATACAGATTTAGAATGTCCAGGTGGCATTTGAATGAGGAGATAATAATTTTCCTTTGCCATAAGAAATAAATATCTTCCATATGTATTTTAGAAATTTATTGTCCAGAAAACCAGATTCGGCCTAACCGAAGCAGGAGATCTGTCTGCGGAAGATATGAAGAAAATCCGCCATCTCTCTCTAATTGAACTGACTGCCTTTTTTGATGCCTTTGGAATCCAACTGAAAAGAAACAAAACTGAGAAAGTAAAAGGACGAGGTAGTTAAGACAGGTTTCTTCTGATTTTAACACTTTGACACCCTGGAATAAGAATAGTGCTTTGCTGATTCCTTTTCCTTTCTTTCTTGCCCATTATACAATGAAGACAATGGTATTTTTGGCGTTCCACTTACAGTCCTATTGGACAATGACCGAAAGAAAGACCCTGGAGTGAAGGTTCCCCTGGTGTTACAAAAAGTAAGTGGGATGTAAATGACCGGGGAAATGGTAGAGCCTCCTGTTTGCAGTTTGGAGTTGTGAACCCACTAATGAATTTTCTTGTATGTTTAAAGATACTAACACCCACTTAGGACTCAGGCCCTTGGTGATTTTTAGATTTCTTCATGCATCCCCAAAGCATCCCACAGCGCTTGGAACCAGTTTGCCTTGCTTCAGACTTTTGGAACCCTTTGCAATGTCTGACCATAAAGCATCAGGTGATGGACACAGATGTTCTGTCACATGGCTTCCCTCTGTCATAATTTTTTCCAGTATTTTTTAAAGGTTACTTGTGTGTATTATATGTCTCTGTATTTGAATATTCTCTGCAGAATACAAGATGACCATTAATCATCAGCTGTACATTTATTGATTAAGTATTTGCTGAGCTTTATCACAGGTTGGGTGTTTTCAAATATGTATGTATAATCATTTAAATGAATTTGCCAAACAAAGCTTAATAAAGCCTAAAATGCACTTTTCTGGTGGTTTTTCAGGTATGACTATGATAGGATATATTTAGGTGGAAGGGAGTTTTGAGAAATGATATTACCTTAACTTTCATCTGCCAGTATCTCTGTGACCATCATTGCTCAATAGCTGATTTGATTTTAAGTCATGATTTTTATAGCCAACAATTTACACTGGATTACTCAAGCATGTATTTATTCAATAGTGACATCCAGTGGCACATTTAAGATCCCAAGCCCTAAACACAAATCTTGTTGCATTTTAAATTGAGTTTTTAAGTAATATAGAAAAATATTGACTGAGGAAACAAACTTACCTTATTCACAGTAACAATGCCATGCCTCTTTACTATGTACTCTTTAAACTTTGCTGCCAGGGCCTCAGACCAAGGGGCTTCTCAAGTCAGGTGATGGCTGCTGATAGAGGCAGAGGACGACGATGAGAGAGCCAGAGGGTGCTGGCGACGTGCCAGCATGCATGGGGGCATTTGAGGGTGCCTCCCCTGAGCAGATGCCTTCGATAGGCTAACATGGGTAGTCAGCACTGAGCAGCGTGAGGAGGTTGTGTTATCATCTCCCTTCTACTCATGAGGCCACTGAGACAGAGGAGGGTGAGATACCTCACCCTTGAACATACACCCAGCCAAGAGGAAGGGCGAAAGGAAGCACAGACTATGTCCATGGCCAGAGTCCACGGTGACACGAACATTTTCTTTCCTTCTTTGAATTAGAACTAGAATGATGACCTCTCTCCTCTATGTAAAGGACAGAGTCTGAAGACAATGCATAAGAACCTAAGACTGAGGAGATTCAACACATGAATTTATATTATTATGTAACTTAGCAAATGGAAGGTGCCCAGTAAATGCTAGTTCAACCAAATCTGGATTTATATCATCTTAGCAACTCAATACATGTTAGCTGTTACTACTCCTCATGTCAAGTATTCCCCATTGAAGACAGCTTAAGGTATTATTCTTCTACTCCTATGGGAGAACCTTTTTTTATGGACATACTTCCTTGGCCTAGATATGCATTTCTCACCCTACCTGCAAAAAGTACCTTTGTTCAGGCATCACCATTTATTTATTTTTTTTTAAGATTTTATTTATTTATTTGACAGACAGAAATCACAAGTTGGCAGAGAGGCAGGCAGAGGGAGAGAGTGGGGGAAGCAGGCTCCCTACTGAGCAGAGAGCCCGATGCGAGGCTCGATCCCAGGACCCTGAGATCATGACCTGAGCTGAAGGCAGAGGCTTTAATCCACTGAGGCACCCAGACACCCCAAGGCACCACCATTTCTTAAAAGGAAAAGAGCATAATCTCACAAAACAAACTGAGGGTGGCGGGGGGGCGGGGGCTAGGGAGAGGGTGGTTGGGTTATGGGTATGTGCTATGGTGATTGCTGTGAAGTGTGTAAACTTGGCAATTCACAGACCTGTACCCCTGGGGCTAATAATACATTATATGTTTATAAAAATTTTTTAAAAATTATTAAAAAAAAAAAGGAAAAGAGCAGAGACTCTGGATGATCCTCCTCTGTGGTGTAAACATGGGCAAGTCGCATACCCTTTCCATGCCTTGGTCTTCTCAGCAGTTAGATGGTAGTTAGTGCCTGCCTGGTAGAATTAGTGTGAGGATTAAATGAGTTAATAGATGGCAAATAGTTAATTAAATAGTTAATAGATACTGAGAAAGGGGCATCTGACACAGTAAGTGCACGATAAATGTTAGGTTATATTGTTATTACATTAACAGCATCATTATCATCATCACTATCACCATGAGAACTTTACAGTTTCTGCCTTTTTGGTCATATTTCTAGAATTCCTATCGTCTCTCAGCTAATGTGGTTGTATCTAATAATAGTAAATTTGGAAACTTTTTTTATTGGTCCATCTGCAGAAAGAGATATATAGTAGTCAAATCTTAAATTGGCCAAGTACAAGCTTGAGAGACAGGGCCATTACTTTTGAGGTTGATCCCGGGAAAGTGACAGGACAATTCGGTCTCCATTGCATTTGCAAATGGGAAACTACTGTTGACCTTAGAGGCGGTTGTGAACATTTCACAAGGCATTCAAATACCAGGCATGTATATATGCATAGTAATTTGTTTGTTATTGTCACCATCTTGTTATTTCAGATGTTTTTTATTGTATGGAGGTATTCATTTTTATAATATATATCATTGCTTCTTAGTTTTTTGAGAAAGTTGAAGAATCGGGCCTGGAATCTGAAGGAATTTTTCGACTTTCAGGATGCACTGCCAAAGTCAAGGTACCGAACATTTTTTTTTCGTTCTTGTGGGAGACCAAAGCTAGTGAGACCCAATTCATACAGGCCCCAGCTGTTAAGTCCTTTGTTGTCATTGCTGTTGGTATGACCACTTGACCCTGTCTAGTGTTCCTGGATACTTGTGATTAAATATTCCATGATCCTGAGTTGTGTATCCTTTTATTTTTTAGAACAACAACAATAAAAAACCAGCAACAGAGAAACAACACATCAATTTACCATGAAAAATTGCTGCTTACCTTTAGTTTGGAAAAGCTAAAATGTCCCATCACTATTTTCAAGGTTAAACACTTTAGTTTGCTGTGTTCTTCTAGGTCGTGGAATTTACTAAGCCAATATTACATAAATCCTTATTTCCATTATCAGTTGCTTTACTTATTTACTTATTTTTTTATGTACTATTCTTTTTTTTTTTTTTTTTAAAGCATTGGGGGAGAGGGACAGAAGGAGAGAGAGAGAGAGAGAATCTCAAGCAGGCTCCACGCCCAGCATGGAGCCTGATGCAGGGCTCCATCTCATGACCCTGAGATCATGACCTGAGCTGAAATCAAGAGTCAGACACTTAACTCACTGAGCCACTGAGGCACCCCCCATGATCAGTTGCTTTAAACTTAGAAACATTCTTTGGCCGTCTTTTTAATGAAAGTCTTTATAAGAATACTTAGGAATGGCTGTCACCACTAGAATAACCACTCAGCAGTTCTAAAACCTAGTTTTATTGAAGGTAATGTTAAATTCTACACTATAAAACGACCTGTGTAATGTGATTCCTTCTGCTTTGCTTTCTTCCTTCCATGTAGTGGCAAACTCCACAGTGGTATAAAGGAAAGAATCACTAAAAAGGAAAACCTTTCTCATAAGTTTGTCTACTTGGGGGTATCACAGTGAACAGTTCCACTCTGCCCTTGAATCACTCCCTGGCTGGAAGACATGAAAATCTGAGCAGTTTTAAATAATCAGTCCTTAAGAAAAAAAAAGTATCAGGATGAGGGAAAAATTAACTCTGTTGCAATGCATAGAGGTGGAAGAGCATCTCTTCATTAATTCATTTTGGTACATGTTTAGGGAAATTCTATTTGTATCAGAAATCTCAGAGTTTTTATTTAGAAGTGTGATGTGATGCTTTTGTAAGTAGAAACTGAGAATAAATAGGCTGTGTCTATTGGAAGCTCCAGAAGGCAGAATCTGAGACGGAATCAGGAGTAGAAGAGGCATAGTGCTTCTGAAGGGTGCAGGGGAGGAAGCCAGGTTGAGCAGGCTGGGCCTCAGACCAGGTGCAGGGCTGACACCGGTCTTCCCTGCCCTTAGGTATAGTCCCTCAGCAGGCTGAGGGGGCTCGGCACCAGCTTCCACACCACACAGTCACTGCTCCGGCTTCCTGTGAAGGAGGGGATGAGGCTGATGAGCAGGTGCTAACGGCTGGCCGAGCCAGCTGTCAGGAGTCACCTGCATTATTTTATGCAGTTAATTGGTTTTGTAAGGGAAGTCCGAGCAGTGTGCCACTTTGCCAGTGGCAGTAGTGGTCTGGGCATTTGGAGAGTTGTCACTTCCCTGGGAATGGAGATTGCTAGATGCTAGCACAAGGTCATTTGAAAGGCAAGAAAATGCCTAATGGATCCTCAAGGTTTATTCTTTCTAAATTGAATCTGCTTTTTGTCTTAAATTCTAAGTGTTATGGTTGTCATATGTACCCTGAATCAGAGGATGAGAGTCAGAGAACCAAAGTGAAGTTAGAGAAACAAATTTCCTAGACACAGTTAGACTTCATTCCTCTAAATCTCCCTCCATAACTGAGAAGTGGTATTTACACAGATTCTTCCCAGCTTTTGTGTGTGTGTGTGTGTGTGTGTGTGTAAAACATAATGGAGGTGATTTAAACTCTCTTTTTCAAATAATCAAAAGGAGACAACATTACACAACCGTTGTAAGCATGAAGTTTAACACCATAGCAGAAGTTCTTTTTCTTTAGCTAATCTTTGCCTGAAAAATGCTTACCAAAGGCTAATAATTACTTCAGAGTGTTCTTATAGGCACATGCATTCCTGAACCATATTTAGGGAAAAGTCCCTTTTCTTCCCTAATAGGTTTTATGTAGTTTCAGCCTATTTATTCTGTCTCTTACTACTCTGAGAATGTAATCCAGATGTTTGCATGGTTTGAACTCCAGGAAAACCAATGTGAGAGAAGTCTGGGCCAGCAAACAGAGACAGGGTAATATAGTTAGAAAGAAATTGTAACTTGATCTATTAAAGGGGTCTTTATTTCTCTTCTTTGTTCAAACTTTAAACTATTTGTATAAATTCTTCTGTTAGACTAGTTTTTCTAGGAATGTGCTTAGGGAAAGATAGTTTTAAAAACTCCGTTATAATTATCCTCAAATTGTGCCAAATGGATGACACTAACTCTAATGTATCATTGTGAGCAGTCTTGTACTTTCAAGGCCTGATGAGACTAACAGGGGCACAGGCCTGGGGGGAAGCTGCTAGCTTTGGCCACACAGGGAACACAACAGTGGAGCCTGTTCCTGTATTTGAGGCCACAGATCATTTGGAACCAATTTAATGCCTTGGTGTTTCCAGTGATTTTCTTTTCCAAAAAGGACAGTAATTTGAGCTGAACACTGGGGAATACATTTTATGGAAGAAGGCAGGCTGTTTGACATGCGAGGGGTGGTTTTTTTTGTTTTTGTTTTTGTTTTTGATTTGTTTCAGTTATTCTGAGGCTGCTCTAAATGTTTCATAATTATGTTACTTGGTCTACTGGTTTCCCTTCCTGACCTGGTTTTTGAAGCTGAAGGTGGGTCATTTGCATTTTTATAAAATGACCTCCGAAATGGAAGCAGGTTGTATATTTGCTCAGAGCAGATTGAAGGACGTGGCATCTGACCCTGACCTAGTGTCCTCATTAACACTGGACAGAAAACATGACTTCTTTAACCTCTAAATGCTTCCTTTCCTGTCTTTGGCAAGCTAAATTCAACACCTGGTTTATGATTTCATGTTTAGGACCACCATGGAAATGTTAGCTCTGTTCCTATGGCCCTCAGTTTTTTCTGGTCAAAGGAAGAGAGGACATTCTTTCTCTCAGTTTTGTTATATTCTGTCCATCTGGTCAGGATGAAAATATACTATTACCCGAATAACCACATATGCATGGGTTTCCCATACTAATAATACTAAAGGTTATCACCGACTGAGAGGAGGGGATGTTATGAGCAGCCAACGTTTACTGAGTGCTTCCTTTGGGGTGGGCCCTCCCCACTGAATTTTACATTGGATTAACTGATTGAATCTCTGTGAAGTCGTTTTATTTATATATTTATTTGTTTCTTTATAGAAATTGTATATTTTTATTTGACAGAGAGAGAGACACTGAGAAAGAGAATACAAGTAGGGTGAGGGGCACAGGGAGAAGCAGACTCCCCACTGAGCAGGGAGCCCCATGTGGGGCTGGATCCCAGGGCCCTGGGATCAAGACCTGAGCCCAAGGCAGACACTTAACAACTGAGCCACCCAGGCACCCCTGAAGTCATTTTAATATCCCTATTACACCGTGAGAAACTGAGACATAGGCCTTAACACTAGTCAGTTGTGGAGCTGGGATAAAAACCTAAAGAATCTAGTCATAGAGCCCACTCTTGATGCTGGAGCCATGTTGCTTGGTAAGCAACAGGGCACCGCTGGCAGGTTAAAATGGTGGTCATGGTGTGTTTCAGACAGCTTCCTACAGCAGAGGGATGTGGGAGATGAATCTGAGTTATTCTGCTCTCAGTGGTGCTTCCTGCCTCCTTGAAAACAGTTTCACATTTGCTTTGTAGCACCAGGCAATGGATGGAAGACATTTGCTGCTTTCCCTGTACTTCCTGTTAACAACACTTCCATCTGTCCATGACTCCAGCTAGCAGTCAGAGTCATTTTGGACAGATCTGTCACCCTCTAAATAATCCATCACTGATTTGTGAGAATTTTCTCTCACGCATTCCATCAGTGCCACCTCTCCTTTCTCTCTTATAGCTGCTTATCCAGGTTAGTCCTCAATTTCCCAGAAATGGCTCCATGCCCAGTAACTAGTCTCCTTGCCTCTAGTCTGTTCCCTAATCAGCACCAAGCTTTATTCTCCAAATCGCTTTCCCATCTGGCTGTCAGAAAAGATAAAACTCACCTTGTTCTCCTGCTTGGGTGTGTTCCATGTTGCCTCATGGCCCATGGAATAAAGTTCAGTCACCTGAGGGCTGGCTCTGGTCTGCGCCCCAGCAACACTGAACCTACCAGAGTTCCCCAGAGCCAGTGGGTCTCCTTGCATGTGTACCACTGCTGGAGCACTTTGTGCTGTCTTGAGTACCCTTCTATTTACTCTTCCCCTGACAAGTTCCTCACAGACTCAAGACTGGCCTGAGCCAAGTTGGATTCTCCTCTTTCCTCGCTGCATAGCATCCAATATGTGACCCGAGTTAGCATCAGGAGTTCATAAGATGGTCCCATTCACAGAACTGCAAGATGCCTAAAGGCAAAGAATAGATCCCGTGCATCTTCTCTTACCAGAGCCCAGTCTGTGCTCTACTTCTTTTATTCTAGGAAGCACTTTGTATGTATGCTTTAGATACATGCTTTAGTGCTTTACAGAGTGTATTTATCAGCAAAGGATTTGCTTGATTTGCTCTTATTCCTATTAGATTGAGAGCTTCTCAAGGACAAGGAGAAAATCTCCTCTTGCTGTCATTAGTAAGGGCTAGAGGGTGGCTTGGAATCCTGTCTATTTCTATAAAGGACGTGTATTGCCAGGTTGTCTCCCATGTCCCAGGTTTGGGCGCCATGACAGCATTAATGTCTGGGCTTGTTAATGAGCTGCAGTGTGGTAGGGAAAGGTCAGACGTGCAGACTGATTCTGGCTCTGTGTGACTCAAGGCTGGAAGGCCATAAACACCCTGAGGATTTTCAGAGTTCTCTTTTTGGAGTAGTTAGTGTCTGTTGGGGAGCTGCTACAACTAACTGCTATTAATAGGTAAACTGTATGCAATTCAAGGGGATGGTAGAAAATGAGTTTGAAAAAGAAACATGGAGAATGGGGGCATTGATAATCAGATGAATCGATAATGTGAACTGTATAACCCAACTAAAACTTATGGAGGCTTAGTGATTTTTTTAAAGTATTTACACAGTGTTCCAAACCTTATGAAGGATTGGGCAAGCATGCAGACATGTGGAAGACATGTGTACCTCTTGGCCTAACACTTTGCTGTAACTGCTCCAGGAAGATATCATTGGTCTGCATGTTGCCATGAGGTCAGAATTCCTTTACTGGCATAGTTTTCATTCTGTATGAGAACTAGTTGAGAGGCATACATTCTTGATCTAATTTAGAAGAAGATGACAGGATGGCAAAAAGAAAAAAAAAAAGTGGAGGCTTTTGTCAAATCAGTACGTTTATCCTGTGGGGATGTAAGTGGTATTCGCCTAAAACCACAGAAACAAAACTATGATGAGTAAGGAATTTTATAGTTCTGTAGAATTAGCAGATTATTTCAAGATTAACATTATTCTGAAAAGATTTTAGAAAAAATCATTCAAAAAGAGTTATTTCAGTTCTTTATGTTGAAAAAGTTAGGCTTGGTAGATATTGGCTTTTCAATCTATTTACAAAAATAATTTATGTAATGACAGTTTTTAAAAGGGAAAGGGGGATCAGGTGGTAAAAACACTTTGAATATTGACTGTTTTTCTTGATTTTCAGCAATACCGTGAAGAACTGGATGCCAAGTTTAATGCTGATAAATTTAAATGGGACAGAATGTGCCATAGAGAAGCTGCAGTAATGTTGAAGGCGTTTTTCAGAGAACTACCCACCTCTCTCTTCCCTGTGGAATATATACCTGCCTTCATCACTCTCATAGAAAGTAGGTGGAAGAAGTTAAGTGTGAATGGGCTAAGATATAAGATTAATAAAGTGACACAGAGCAAAAGAAAGATGCATAATCAATTGTGATTATAAATGTACAGATTTCCTATTTCCTGGCAGTGGTTGGTGAAATACTGAGTTTGATGGTAAACAGTCCTCTCTTTCCCTTATTAAGTCTGGTAGATACAAGTTAGCAGGTTTTATGACCGTTAAAAGAGCGGCTTGCCGAAAGACCAGGCTCTTGAGATTTGAATTCTTGTTCAACCATCTATTAGCCATGTAATCAACTTTTCTGAGCTTCATTACTGCACCTATAAATTACAGATAACAATTGCTTGTCAGGGTTGTTGTGGTTATCGAATGAAGACATCTAGAATAATACCTGGTGTGTAATAGTCCTTCCAAAAACAGAAGGTCTCTTCCTTCATTAAATCCAAGGTCCTGGGTTTGATGATGTGTAAAACACAATAAATGCAGCACAGAAGGTGTTTTGTCTCTGAAAACTACAAAGTCACATAGATTAGACCTTAAGCGAGGAACTTGGATAAAAGCATGGAAACTAGAAGGTGTGTGTTGTATTTGGCAATGAGAGGATAATTTGGCATGCTTTTTTAGCCTGAGGGTTGAATAGTGTGGAGATGTGACAAGAGAGAATTTAGAAAAGCAGAATGGGTTTACATGAAGGGGGCTTTGACTACTAACCAGAGGAATTCAGGGGTCACAAAGCTGTTAAATAAATGGCAATTCTGCATGGACAAAAAAGGCCCATGGACAAACTGAAAGGACACACCCCTTATAAAAAGGTTGGCCACTGCTCAGCTCTAAAAAATGGTTACCATGTAGGAATGAGAGCCAAAATCCACACTTTAATAGGGAAACTGTTAATTTGAAAATATCAGCTACAAATTCAAATTTGAAAACACTCTGTGAGCCTAACAAATGATATCTATATCTGCCAGTTTACAGCTTCCTGCAGGTTGACCAGAACTATAAAATCCTTAAAATCACAATGAAAGAAAATAATAGGTCCTAAGTTTTATGACAAAATTTGTCCTAAAAAATAGTAGGTTCTAAATCTTTAAACATTTTAACTAAATCAGATTCATAAAATAATTCTTTGTGCCTTCAGAAAAGAGAATACCATAGGCATGGCAGTTTTTTCCTAAGCTTTAATTCACATGCCATCTGTGACTAGGATCTCTTTACTTTGTAAGATGTAGTATTTTGTTTTATGAGAGACGCTTACAAAGAGAGAAGAGCTAGTTTGCTTCATTCTTTTTTTATTTCAGATATTGTGTTTTGTCAGTTCTAGAATTTCCAGTTGGTGCGTTTTTTAATTGAAATATAATTAATATACAATGTTACATTAGTTTTAGGTGTATAATTAATGATTAAATAATTTGATACATTTTTCAGTACTCATCATGATAAGTGTACTTTTTAAAAAATATTTTTACTAACATATAATGTATTATTTGCCCCAGGGGTACAGATCTCTGAATCATCAGGCTAACATATTTCACAGCACTCATCATAGCACATGCCTTCCCCAGTGTCCATAACCCAACCACCCTCTCCCTACCCCCCCAACCCCCAACCCCCAGCAATCCTCAGTTTGTTTGTGAGATTAAGATCTCTTATGGTTTGTCTCCATCCTGATCCCATCTTGTTTCATTTTTTTCCTTACCTATCCCCAAAATCTCCCACCCTGCTTCTTAAATTCCTCATATCAGAGAGATCATATGATAATTGTCTTTCTCTGATTGACTTATTTCACTCAGCATAATACCTTCTAGTTCCATCCACATCATTGCAAATGGCAAGATTTCATTTCTTTCTTTTTATTTATTTATTTTTTTTTTAAAGATTTTACTTATTTATTTGACACACAGAGATCACAAGTAGGCAGAGAGGCAGACAGAGAGAGAGGGGGCAAAGCAGGCTCCCTGCTGAGCAGAGAGCCCGATGTGGGGCGCCATCCCGGGACCCTGAGATCATGACCCGAGCTGAAGGCAGAGGCTTAACCCACTGAGCCACCTAGGCGCCCCCAAGATTTCATTTCTTTTGATGGCTGCATGGTATCCCATTGTACATATATACCTCATCTTCTTTATCCATTCATCTGTTGATGGATATCTAGGTTCTTTCCATAGCTTGGCTATTGTGGATATTGCTGCTATCAACATTCGGGTGCACGTGCCCCATCAGATCACTACATTTGTGTCTTTAGGGTAAATACCCAGTAGTGCGATTGCTGGGTCCTTTATCTTTTTCACCCATCCCCTTTCCACCTCCCCTCTGGCAGCCACCAGTTTGTTCTCTATATATTTAAGAGTCTGGTTTTTTTGTCTCTCTCTCTCTCTCTCTCTCTCTCTCTCTCTTTTTTTTTTTTTGGTTGTTCATTTGTTTTGTTTCTTAAATTGCACATGAGCAAAAAAATCATATGGTATTTTTCTTTCTCCGACTGACTTATTTCACTTAGAATTATACCTTCTAGATCCATCCATGTTTTTGCAAATGGTAAGATACTCGGGTTTTTTATGGCTAAGTAATATTCCATTATATGTATGTGTGTGTGTGTGCATTGTGTGTATATATACACACACATACAAACCCCACATCTGCTTAATTTTTTTTCACACCATATTTTCTTTATCCATTCATCTGGATGGTAGATACTGGGGTTGCTTCCGTATCTTGGCAATGGTGAATAATGCTGCAGTAAACATAGGGGTGCACATATCTTTTTGAATTAGTGTTTTCGTTTTCTTTTGATAAAGGCCCAGCAGTGGAATTACTGGATCATATGGTAGTTATGCTTTAACTTTCTGAGGAACTTCCATAGGGTTTTCCACAGTGGCTGTGCCAGTTTGCATTCCCATCAACTGTGCATAAGTGTTCCTTTTTCTCCACATCCACAGCAACACTTGTTACTTGTGTTTTTTATTTTAGTTATTCTGACAAATGTAAAGTAACATCTCATTTACATTTTTTCATATGTCTGTTGGCCGTCTCTATCTTCTTAGGAAAAATGTCTGTTCCGGTCCTACACCCATTTTTTAAATCAGATTACTTGGGGTTTTTTGGTGTTAAGTTTATGCATTTTGAATATTAACCCCTTATCAGATATATCATTTATAAATATCTTCTCCTATTCAGTAGGTTGCCTTTTTGTTTTGTTGATGATTTCCTTCACTGTGCAGAAGCCTTTTAGTTTGGGGTAGTCCCAGTAGTTTAATTTTGCTTTTGTTTCCCTCACCTGAGGATATTCTCTAGAAAAATCTTCCTATGGCTGATGTCAAAGAGATTACTGCTTATGTTTTCTTCTAGAAGTTTTATGGTTTTAGATCACATATTTAGGTCTTTAATCTGTTTTGAGTTTTTCTTTTTTTTTTTTTTTTTAAAGATTTATTTATTTGACAAAGATACAGCGAGCAAGAGAACACAAGCAGGGGTAGTAGGAGAGGGAGAAACAGGCTCCCTGCTGAGCAGGGAGCCTGATGCGGAGCTCGATCTCAGGACTCTGGTTTCGTGGCCTGACCCGAAGGCAGATGCTTAACCAACTGAGCCACCCAGGTGCCCCTTTTTTTGTATTTTGAATTCATTTTTGCATATAAGTATGTAAGACCATGGTCTAGTTCCATGGAAACATTCTTTTGCATGTGGCTGCCGGTTTTCTCAACACCATTTGTTGAAGAGATTGTCTTTTCCCCGCTGAATATTCTTGTCTCCCTTACCATATTCTTACTTCCTTTTTAAGGATTTTATTTGCTGAGATAGCCTATCTTTTCATCCATTATAAGCATATTTTTCTTCACATCATTGAACATAGTTATGATAGATGTTTCAAAATCCTTGTCCGCTAGTGCCAGCATCTAGGTCTCCTCCGGGTTGGTTTCTATTGTCTTTTCCCTTGAGAATGCATTTACATTATCAAGTAAATTTAAACTATTTCCTGAACGTTGTAAATATTGTGTTTTAGAGACTCTGCATTCTATAATATTTCTCCAAAGAGGTTGGAGTTTTGTTTTGGTTTTTGTTGCTTGTTTGTTTGTATTTGAGCCAACAATTTACTTGCATGTAAATTGAACTCAAATGTAATGGTCTTCTGGACTGTTAGTTCAGTTATGTATCCTTACCAGTGCTACTCCACACATGGCTTCGTTCATGAGTCAACCAAGATTTTATACCAGAATCAGGGCCTCTTCCTGTTATTTCCCAGTGTCTGTGGTCGTCTTGAATCCTGTCTTTTGGTTGTTCAAGCAGAAGGACTGGAATTTCAGCTAACTCCTACAGTACCATCATAGACTAAAAGCCGGAATAGTGGGAAACTCCCTGTGCCATTCCCTAATTCCAAGCGTCCAGTCCTCTAAATCTGCCTGCTTTTATGAATTCTTCACTGCCTTAGATAGTTGTTTTTTGTATTTGTCCAGAGTTTATAGTTCTCTTCAGGAGTCTTAGTCAGGAAGGAGCTTATTCAGCCATACCAGAAGCAGGACTTCCTCCCTTCAATTTGTAAGTTCAAAAAGGGTAGTATTTTCTATATAGTTTGCTCTCCTGTGTAATGGAGAAGTATCCGTTTTCCCTTGATCTGTGGTATATACACTAAATAATTCATCAAAACAAATTGGTGCCACAGAAGATTTTTTTTTTCTGTTTGCGATTTTGTGGTATTATGAAATTTTGCCAGGATGAGTCCAGTGCCAATCCTATTCAGAGAATCTTATTTTAAAAAGTCATACAGATAAACTAGGTTTCCTTAACATCATTGTTCCGTGTCTGACTGTAGCCAGTACACTTCATTGAAGGGAGGAAATCTGGAAAATATCTTGAAAAGGTTCACAGAGGAATCCACATTTTTTGGTATGACTTTGAAAGTGAAAAATACCATGTTGCAGTGATTGATTTGATACCAGCCAACCCCACAGGAAGCCCAGAGTTCTGGGCTGCTCCCATCAGGGAAAATGGCCTTTTTGCTACCTAGAGTAAGCCCTAGTTATAACGAGATTTTCTGAAGGAAAGAATTATGGGTACGTGTGTTTAAACTGCTAATCTTTATGGTTTAAAATGGGGTTTGGAGAATGTAGTCTTTTAGTGTAATCACATTCTTTTTCCAAACTTGGCCCAAAACTTGTCCATAAAATTAAAAGACTAAGTCAAGCTTTAGACACTTTTGTGAAAAGTTGAATACTTTTCTGAGAAAATAATGACCTCAAGGGAAAAAGATCCTAACCAGGATGCAGTAATGAATTAACTACGAAACTATTAGCTACAAAGTGGTATAGGTATAGGTTTCCTAAATAAAATGAAAATGGATTATTTGCCAGTTTAGAGTTTCAGTCTTAAAAGTAACTTCATAATTTCTCTGAAATTGGTGGAAATACAGAGGCTGCGTCTGCATCTCTTGTTCCCTCTACCAGAGGGTTGGCTGCATTGGAAGATTACAAACAGCCTGTAGTTTATGTATTAAAATAATGCCTTATCTGTCCCTCAGTGGTTTGTACTGAGATATATTCCTGATAGTTCCTGTTAATCAAGTAAACTCATGTCAATGTACATTAGCCATTTTCAAAAACATCCTGACCCTGTGTCATTTTTGTTTACAGATTTGACTAAATTTCTAAAAATCCACATGGGGATTATACCAAGACAATATGATACAGTCCTATAAATAATCTCCCAGCTGATTCTTTGTTACATAGTTATGCACATTTGTCATGTGCTCCTAACTATACTCCTAACTAGGATGCACACAATCTCCTATAACCTAGTAGCTTGTCTCAAGAGTGTTTCCACTGCTGTAAAGCTAAGTAACTTTACAGGCAGGTGACTGCCTTTCATCCATTGAATATAAATAGATATTCATGCAGTAGAGAACTCCCCAGGGATGCTAGAATATAATGCTTCCCCCCAGGAACTCCCCACCAGGAGACCATTGTGAGGAGAATACAGAGAGACAAAGCAAAGCCTGGAATGCTCTGATATACTCTACGTTTTCAGCACAGCTGGTTGTGGATTATCCAGTTGTGGATGGAATCCCTAAAATTCTTTCCCTAAAACAGTGTTTAATACGCAGCTATAAATGCCAGCCCTCTGGCGCCATCTTCTGTCATTTTATCAAGGAATAAAATACTCAAGAATCTCTAAAGCTCCAACAATAGCCACGTTCCTTAAATGTCCATTTATGATCTAGAATAAATGTCTTTAATCACAATTACAAGAGCATACACATATCGAGGCAACTATGTTATAGGCACTGATGTAAACACTCTCCATATACTAACTCACTTAGTCTTTGCAGTAACCCAGAGAGATAGGTAGATGTGACTACTCGTGTTTTACAGATGGCAAAATAGTAGCAATGAGGGGTTAAATAGGCTGCACAAGGTCACTCAGTGACCAAAGTAGTTGCAGGATTTGAACCTGGTTCTAGAGTCTATCCTCTTAGTAATTATACTTTGCTGCCTTGTTATGTAGAAACAAGATTTATTTTCTGTTGACTTGAGCTTTTAAGCCTTCTGTTCATGGCATATAAGTAAAGCAGGGCCTGTGGAAGTACTTTGAAAAGGGAGATGTTATACAGATCTAGAATTATTTTGAGGATCTCATTGGCCACCTGCCTCTACAGTAACATTATGGGATGTAAAAGAGGAGTTGATCAACTGCGGCTCTTGTCCAAGTTAACAAATTTACACTGTTGGGCACAAAACCGGAGTCTTCACCACTGAAAGCTGTCAGGAGCCCTCCTGTGCCACCAGATGTTAGCAAGAAATGTTGTCAGAATGCATCAGTGTTGTTCAAAATGTGTGGTTATTTCTGTTTTCTTGTTAGGAGGGCCTCACATCAAAGTACAGTTTCAAGCTTTACATCTCATGATCATGGCACTGCCTGATGCCAACAGGGACACAGCCCAGGTATGTTATATCAACCTCATGGTCTATCATTGGCCCTTCTTAGTCAAAGATAATGGCTCAGATGGAAAAATAAAGACCAAGATGACAACTTACTAAGCCAGCTAAGCATGTTGCCAGCCTGTTATTGCCTTTCCACATTCTTACTGCTGTTCTCCCAAGGAAGACAGGAAAGAACATAAATCCTGGAATCTTCTCCGAACATTTAGTTTAATTCATTCAATCTATTAAGAGATACTGAGTATCTGTCTAGTGCCAGGCACTGGCCTAGGGTTAGCAAGAGGAGAAGCAAAGATGGGAGACAAATTGGATAATGTCAGAAGAAGACAAATGTGATAATGTCAGAGGCCATTATGTAAGCTGCAGAATGTAAAGCTCTATAATTTTAGGTCCTCAGCTACTCACTTCAGTCTGGTGACAAAAGATCCAGAGTATGCTTAAGGAGGAAATTTGAAGTCACTGATTTAAATGAAATTTCTAAAATGTTGGTGTCTTACAGCTTATAAAGATAATTCAATGAAACCGTCCTAGAATCTTGGTATTTTAGAAATCACCTGATACGATCTTCTCATTTTATAGGTTAGGGAAAATTAGACTCAGAAAAATGATTTTTCCATTAACATATAATATAACATTTGGTAGAACCATATTCCTTGGTTCTCCCAAATATTTTGTGCCTTATTTCAGATTTATTTCCTTGCTGTATGTTGGCAAAAATCAAAAGTTTTTCTTTTTATTTTGATAATGATTCTGTATGCAATAGGAAATTTGCTGTAAGTACAACAGGTGTTTGGAATCTTTGAAATGAAATTGAGTTAAGATGAGTTGGAAAGAGCGCGTAATTTGGGGGCCAGTAAACATAATGCTGAAAACAAAGATGATTCTTTGTGCTGCCTCTCATCAGACATTTCAATTTGGTGAGAGCCTTTCCTTCTACATAATAAAATAAGTGTGTCAATTATATGTCAATTATATCCTCAAGGATGGGGGTTGGATGTGACATAAGAATGTCTATTTCTAGTATAATTCAGTAATATTTCAAAAGCTGGAAATTTATTAGCTTGTTTTGGGGGTATTTGTAAACAGTGTTCTTTTATATATAAAGAAAAAAAAGATGCATCTGCTGTCAGATATTTGGCTCAGAATGTCATCTATCCTCTCATATATCCAAGGATGCAGTAAGAACAGGTAATCTAACACTTTTCTAACAGAAGATCCTCAAAAACGTCATGGGACTGGTGGAGATGCGCGCGCACGTGCACATACACACACACACACACACACACACACACACTTTTTCCCCATTCTACATTGTGACTGGATCTAGGATTGAAGCTGATGTGCTATAGAGATCAAGAGCTCTGGCTCGAGAATCAGGTTTCCTCAGTTCAAATCCTGGCTCTGCCACTTAATTAATTGACATTGGGCAGAGAGAGCTACCTGAATCTTTTCCATTAGCTTCCTCATCTGTCAAACAGTGTTAATAATAGTACCTACTTCACAGGGTTTGTAATGATAATAAAGTCAGTGATATATATGAAGTATTAAGAATGCTTGGCTTCCTAATAAACCCTCACATAAATGTTGACTGTTATTACTATTATATGCCAACCATTTTCTCATTAAAAATACTATAGCAGAATTTAAACTTGAGAAACTAAAGAGAATTTTTTTGTATCTTTTCATTTTAAGATTTCAGCCCTCTTGGTGAATTTCAGAAGGTTCTCACAAGCATCTGTACTTTGGTGGCTCAGCCAAACTTTAAGCTTTCTCAAATCTCTCTCTCTCTCTCTTTTTTAAATGCCAAGAACAGCTGCATGTAAGCATTTCCGTTTGGTCTGCTGAATATTCCAGAATTGAAAAGCAGTAGAAAAATGATACCCAAAAAATAAAATTTTTCAATTTTTCAATTGAGTTTACATTTGGACCAAGGAATGAAATACTCCTGTTTTTTGGGATTTTTGTGTTTTTTTTTTTTAATGGGTTTTTCCTTTCCCAAGGAAATAGTAGATAGTTTTCAATGGTAATGCTTTAAATTAAGGATTTTTTTAGAATTCCTTTTCTTCCTGAGACAAACCATAAGTGACTCTTAATCTCACAAAACAAACTGAGGGTTAATGGGGGGAGGGGGGTTGGGGGGGTGGGATTATGGACATTGGGGAGGGTATGTGCTATGATGAGTGCTGTGAAGTGTGTAAACCTGGCGATTCACAGACCTGTACCCCTGGGGATAAAAATATATTATATGTTTATAAAAAGTAAAATTTAATAAAAAAAAAAAAAACACTTTAAAAAAAAAAAAGAATTCCTTTTCTTCCTTTGCAACGAAACTTCACTTCGTATTTATTTGAAATGCAGTGTTTCCTCTTTCTAGTTTACTACGTAATTTTAATATTTGTCAGCCTTGTTTTGGATAAAAGAAAATAAAAATGCAAACTATCATTTATAAAATCTCTAATATAATAAACTCCATAAAGATGGAAGTACTTTTATGATGTAGAGAATTCAATAAACTATTCATTCACATTTCTTATTAATACTTTTAAGGAATAAAAGGGGCAACATTATATATTTAACCATTCTATAGTTCTAACAGTTTTCCAAGGGCACCATGAAGGGGTATAGAAATGAATGATAGCAATCAGTGATGCCTTTTGATAAAATACAGTCATGTGACACAGTGCTGTTTCTTGTTAGGCCCTCATGACATTCTTCAATAAAGTGATTGCCAACGAATCAAAAAACCGAATGAGTATATGGAATATTTCTACTATAATGGCACCAAACCTTTTCTTCAGTCGAAGCAAGCATTCTGATTATGAAGAATTACAGTTAGCAAACACTGCAGCGCACATCATCCGCCTAATGCTTAAATACCAGAAAATTCTGTGGAAGGTGAGTAACAGTGTGATGACTGTGCTGTTTTCCTTGGAAGCCCACCTACACCTAGGAAACATAAAGGCTATATGCCCTTAGTCACGGGGAGGAAATGTGAGAAGATAATTCCAGGTTGCTTGTGGCATCTTTGTACATTCTTTAATGGCTGCTCCTAAGCATGTTTTCCCTTTTAAACAAGAATCCTTACCGTTTTCTCTAATCTTCACAAGGACAAATGCCACAGTCCCTGGTTCCAGGATACTGAGTGTCCAGAAGAAGTCTAACAGGGAGATTTAATTCAGGTGCTTTCCTTTCGATTCAAGCAGTGTTTCTTCTCCAGGTTCCGTCTTTCTTAATCATGCAAGTCAGAAGAATGAATGAAGCTACCATGTTGTTAAAGAAGCAGCTCCCAAGTGTCAAAAAGCTGCTGAGGAGGAAGACCATAGAGCGAGAGGTAATGACAATGAACTAAGGATGCAAATGTTGTTATTACCCAGGTTTTTATTTCTCAAAGTGTAACGCAAAGTAGCTTGTAATTTAGAACCAAAAAATTTATATTCTCACCCTTGTGACTATAAATATTTTGGAAATGGTATTCATAACAGAGTACCAAGGTCTTGCTATTTTGTTGAATTACGTGTTTCTGGTTGAAGTTTTTGAAATATCTCTATCATGACAGTTATTTAAAATTCTGTTAAGTACTTAAGTCTAAGATGGTTCTCACAAAGACATCAACCTTTTAGTTCCTGCAAATTAGATTTAGGGCAATCCAGTATATCTAATAAATAAAGAATTCTCTAGTGATTAGATAATAAAATAATTTTTAGTCTTCGAGTTGTTTAGTATAAATTCATTGCATTCCAAAGCATTTTTGCTTAAGTGTAGTTTGTATGGAGGTGAAAAGGGAACAGGTTTTAGAAGAATTATCTTTATTGCTTTGATTTGAGGAGAATCATGAGTGTCAGAACATTCAACCTTGAGGAGGATATAGAGAAATTTGCTTTTCTCTTAAAGGAATTTCCACCTAATGTGGGAGAGAAATGTGTACAAGAACCATGAATATGCATTAAGTGTTAGACCAGTTGTATGGACCATGTGGCAGGACCATGCAGAAGAGAAAGAATGAGCTCCATTGTGGGGAATTGTGGACACCTTCTGAAAGAAGTGTGATGTTTGAGCTACATCATGAAGGACAGATGGTATTTTGAAGGGAGAAGGAAGGAAAAAGTTAATCCAGGGAAAGGAATAGTAAATGGCAAAGCAATGAACTGGGAGTATTGCTTATTGATCTATCATAATCATGATGAATGGCTGTATTCCTTTATTGATTATAGGCAAAGTGACTTCAGAATAAGTAGAATCAACATTTAAATTTGGAAAAAAGATTGCTTTGAGAAAAAAAAGTCCATTTTTAAAAAAACTTTGCTGATATTTTCCTCATATCATATGGTTCACTTATTTAATGTGTAAAATCCAGTGGTTTTTAGTATATTCCCAGATGTTTGCAATCATCAGTGCAGTCAAGTTTAGAACATTCTCATCACCTGAAAAAACACCATCCTCTTTGGCTATCATCCCCCTAAATACACCTCCACCATTTCCTTCTACCAGTCCTAAGCAACAATTTATCAACTTTCTGTCTCTATAGAATTCCCTGTTTTGGACTTTAATGAATTAAATCATATACTATGTGACCTTCTGTGACTGGGTTATTACATTTAGCATTATATTTTCATGGTTCATCCAGGTTGTAGTATGTATCAGTACTTGTTTTTTATGGCCAAGTAACATTCCCTTATATGGATTTCCACATAGTTTTTATCCATTCATTTATTGATAGACATTTGGGTTGATTATATCTTTTACTTGTTATGAGTAATGCTGCTATAAACTTTTATACTTCTATATAGAGACATGTTTTAATTCTCTTGGGTATATGGTGGATAATAAAGCAACTCTATGTTGAATCATCTGAAGAACTGCTAGACTATTTTTCCAAAGCAGCTGTCCCATTTTTACATTTTCACCAGTAGTATGTGAGGATTCAGATTTTTCCATATCCTCACCAAAACTTGTTATAATCAGCAACTAATTTTATCCATCCTTTTAGTATAAAGTGGTATCTTACTGTGGTTTTGACTTGCATTTCCCTGAGAACTAATGATGGTGAGCATCTTTTCATGAGCCTCTTAGCTATTTGTGTATCTTCACTGGAGAAATGTCTATTCAAATTCTTTGCCAATTTTTGATTGGGTTGTCTTTTTACTGTTAAGTTGTAGGAATTCTTCATATATTCTAGATACAAGTCCCTTATCAGATGTATGATTAGAAATATTTTTTCCCCTTCTGTGGGTTGTCTTCTCAATTTCCTGATGCGTCCTAGATACACAAAGGTTTTTAATTCTGATGTATAGTTTATGTATTTCTTTTGTTGTCATGTATAAGAATCCTTTGTCAAGTCTTAGATATTGAGGATTTGAACCCTATGTGTTCTAAGAATTTTAGTTTTAGCTCTTATATTTATGTCTTTGTTCCGTTTCGAGTTATTTTTAGTATATGATATGTGGTAGGAGTATACAAGTTCATACTTTTGCATGTGGCTATCTAGTATCTCAGCATCATTCGGTGAAAAAAACTACTCTTTCCCCAGTGAATGGTCTTGGCACTGTTGTTGAAAATTGACCATAAATGTGTGTGTTTTTTTTTTAACCCCTAGACTCTAATTCTGTTCTATTAATTGGTATGTCTATTCTTATGGTAGTAACACACTGTTTGATTACTGTAACTATTTTTTAAGTTTTGAAATTGAAAAATGAGAGTCTTTCAACTTTTTTTTCCAAGTAACTTTGATTATTTAGGCTTCCCTAATTTCCATATGAGAATTTTGGGGCCAGTTTTCCCATTTCTGGGAAAAAACAGTAGTTGGAATTTTTATAGGGATTACATTAAATATGTGGATCAATTTAGGAAGGATTGCCATCTTAATAATATTACATTTTCTAGTCTATGAAAATGAATTATCATTCCATTTATGTAGGTTTTTTATAATTTGTAATTTCTTTTAACACTGTTTTATAGTTTTTACTATGTAAGTCTTATACTTCCTGGATTAACATTTATTCCTAAATATTATTTGTGTTGATATTGTGGTATTATGGCAAGTGGAGTTGTTTTCTTAATTTCATTTTTGGATCACTAATTGTGTATGGAAATCAACTGATATTTCTGTATTGATCTTGTATTCTGCAGTTTTACTGAACTCATTTACTGACACTAATAGTTTGATTTTATTTGTGTTAATTCTTTAGGATTTCTACATATAAGGTCATGCTGTCAGTGAATGGAGATAATTTTCCTTCTTCCTTCCCAGGCTGGGTGCCTTTTACTTCTTTTCTTCCTGGCTAGAACTCTGGTAAAATATTAAATAAGAAGACAAGACCAGAGATCCTGTTTTGTTTCTGATCTTAAGGGGAAATCTCAATCTTTCATCATTAACTATGACGTTAAATCTGGGTTTTTCACAGATTACCTTTATTCGTTTGAGAAAATTTCATTTTTTGTCTTACTTTTTAAAATTCAATTTGTGTAAACTGGAAAAAAATAGTTTACCCATTTCTCCCCACTGTACTCCATTCCCCACCACGGCAACCACCAATCTGTTCTCTGTGTCTACAAGCTGGGATATGTATATGTGTGTGTGTGTGTGTGTGTGTGTGTGTGTACACATATATATATTCCAAATATATATTCCAAACATAGGAGAGATCATACTATATTTGTCTTTCTCTGTCTGACTTATTTCGCTTGGCATTATGCCCCCAAAATCTTGCGATTTTCAATAGCATGGATGGACCTCAAGAAAACATGTTCTGTTCTTAATTTTTTGCATGGTTTTATGATGGAAAGCTATTCAACTTTGTCAAAAGTTTTTTCTTTCTTTATTAAGATGATCACTTTTTTTTACCCTTTCATTCTATTAATATTATGTATTACACTGATTGGTTTTCATATATCAAACTAACCCTGCATTCTTAGGATAAATCCTACTTGGCCAGTCCTTTTACTATGCTGCTAGACAGGTTGCTTGTATTTTATTGAGGATTTTTAAATTAACATTCATAAGGGATATTGGTCTCTAGTTTTTATTTCTTTTTATATCTTGTCTGGCTTTGGTATTGAAAATACTGGCCTTATAAAATGAGCTAGGAAGTGTTCCTTCCTCTTCTATTTTTTAGAAGAGTTTAAGAATAATTGGTGTTAATTCTTTAAATTTGCAGAATTCACCAAAAAAATGTCTGGATCTAGACTTTTATTTGTGAGAATTTTTTAAAATACTAGATTCAGTCTTCTTGTTTATTATAACTCTATTCAGACTTGCTGTTTCTTCTCCAGCCAGTGTTGATAGTTTGCATGTTTCTAGAATTTTGTCTTTTTCATCTTGATTATCTAATTTTTCGTGTACAAATTGTTCATGGTGTGCTCTTATAATTATTATTTCTGTAAAGATTGGTAGTAATGTCCCCACTTACATTCTGGATTTATAATTTGAATCTTCATTCTTTTTTCACAGTCTAGCCTAAATGTTGTCTATTTTGTTGATTTTTTGATAGTCCAACTTTTGTTTCATTGATTCTTTTGTTTTTCTAATCTTAGTCCTTAGTAAAATTCTAATCTTTATTATGTATTTTGTTAAGCTTGTTTTGAGTTTAGTTGGCCTTTTTCTTTAGTTTGTTATGTAGAAGTTTAGATTATTGACTTGAGTTCATTATTTTTTAATATAAACCTTTTCATCTATGAATTTTCCTCTGAGATCTACTTTTGCCCTATCCCATAAGTTTTGGTATGTTGTTTTCCATTTTCTTGCATCCATCTCAAAGCACTTTTTAATTTTCCTTTAACTCATTCGTTATTTAAGAGTATGTTTCAATTTCCACACATTTGTGAATTTCCCAGATTCACTTCTGTTGCTGATTTCTCATTTAATTCCATTGTGGGTGGCCAATATACTTCATATTATTTTGATATTTTAAATTTTTCTTAAAGATTTATTAATTTTTACAGAGAAGAGGGGAGGGGCGGAGGGAAAGCCTCTCAAGCAGAGTCCCCACTGAGCAGGAAGTCCACTCTCACAACCCCGAGATCATGACCTCAGCCAAAATCAAGAGTCAGATGCTCAACTGAGTCACCCACGTGCCCCAATATTATTTTGATATTTTTAAATTAATTCAGACTCATTTTGTGACCTAACATATTGTTTATCCTGAAAAATGTTCTGTGTGTACTTAATGCAAATGGACTCTGCTGTTGCTAGGGTTCTGTAGATGTTTATTATGTCTAGATCTTCTGCCTAGTTCTTCGCTTACTGAAAGTGAGGTACTGAAATATTGAAATCTCTAGCTTTTGCAGGACTGTCTGTTTCTCCATTCTTTTTTTTTTTTTTTTTTTTTTGCTGTA